AAACCAACAATTTAACGAGGCATTTGAGACGCCTTGAAAAAGGCAAAAAGCTAAACCCCAATCCAGTAGATGGAAAGAAATAATTAAAATCAGAATTAAATGAATTAAGAGTCAAAAAAATCCAGAGAGAGAATCAACAAAACAAAGAGTTGGTTCTTCAAAAAAAAAAAAAGAACAAAATTGACAGATCCTTAGCAAATCTTATCAGAAAAAGAAGAGAACACACCCAAATAAGCAAACTCAGAGATCAGAATGGGAATATCACTACAGAAACAACCGAGATTCAGGACATTATGAGGAAATTCTGCTCAAACCTTTATGCTAATAAGTTCAAGAATCTGGAAGAAATGGACAAATTTCTAGCAAATATTGACATGCTCAAACTGAACCAAGATTATTTAAACCAACTTAAAAGACCCATATCAAATATCAAAATCAAAACAACAATAAGAGACCTACTACCCAAGAAAAGCCCAGGACCAGATGGATTTACAGCTGAATTCTACATGGTCTTCAAACCAGAACTCACATTAATACTCCTCCAAATCTTCAATGAAAATGAAAGTGAAAGTTCACTACCAAACTCTTTCTATGAAGCCATCACAAACCACATCCCAAAATCAGGCAGGGACTCATCAAAGAAAGAGAACTATAGACCCATTTTTTTGATGAACATCGATGCAAAACTTCTCAACAAAATTTTGGCCAATCGACTTCAACAACTCATAAACAAAAGCATACATTATGAACAAACAGGACTAATTTCAGGGATGCAAAGCTGGTTCAATATTCACAAATCAATTAATATAATTCATCACATCAACAAGAGCAAGGAAAAGAACCACATGATTATCTCAATAGATACAGAAAGAGCATTTGACAAGATCCAACACCCTTTATGATGAAAGCTCTGGAAAAACTAGGAATCCATGCAACATTCCTCAATATAATAAAGGCTAAATATGACAAACCTACAGGCAGAATTATACTTAATAGTAAAAAGTTAAAGCCATTTCCTCTAAATTCAGGAATGAGCTCTCTTCAATCCTCTTCAACTTAGTATTAGAATGCCTAGCTAGAGCAATAAGATAAGAAGCAAGCATAAAGGGAATACAAATAGGGAAAGATGAAGTAAAACTCCCCCTCTTTGCAGATGACATGATCTTGTATTTAAAGAATACCATGGACTCCATTCCCAAGTTACTGGAGCAGATCCAAAAATTTGGCAAAGTAGCAGGGTATAAAATTAACCCCCCAAAATCAATGGCTTTTCTGTATGCTAATAACAAGAAGTGTGTGGCTGAATCAGAAAAGTAACTCCTTTTCTAATATCCACAAAAAATAAAATAGCTAGGAGTTAGCTAAAGAGGTGAAGGACCTCTATGATGAAAACTTTAAAAACCTGAAAAAGGAAATAAAATCAGAACTAAGGAAGTAGAAAAACCTTCCATGCTCCTGGATTGGGAAGATTAACACTGTGAAAATGGTAATACTGCCAAATTCAATGCAAGACCCATCAATATCCCAACCTCATTCTTCAATGAAATAAAAGAAGCAATCCAAAACTTCATATGGAACAATAAAAGAGCCTTAGCAGAATGAACAGCGCTGGAGGAATATCAATACCAAACTTCAAACTGTACTACAAAGCCAGAGTAATCAAAACAGCTTGTTATTGGCACTAGAACAGACCTGAGGACAAATGAAATAGAACTGAAAACCCAGAAATGAACCCACAGACCTATAGCCACCTAATCTTTGATAAGGGAGCTAAAACAAAATAGAAGAGAAGAAAGACAGCTCTTCAGTAAATGGTGCTGACAAAATTCATTCAACACCTATAGAAAACTAAAGCTAGATCCTTATATATCACTCTGTACTAGGATCAACTCCAAATGGATCAGAGACCTCGCAGTCAAAGCAGACACCCCGAAAATGTTACAGGATGGAATAGGAGAAACTCTAGGTCTGCTTGGCACAGGCTGAAATTTTCTTAATAAAGACCCAGAAACACAGCAAATCAAAGAAAGGCTGGACAAATGGGATTGCATGAAACTGCAGAGCTTCTTGGCAAAGGACATAGCAAGCAAGATCAATAGAAAGCCCATGGATTGGGAGAAGATCTTCACTAGCCATAGAACAGACAAGGGCAGCATATCTGAAGCATATTTAGAACTCAAAAACTTAAATCCCCCAACAACAAATCTTCAAAGAAATAAGCGCCCAATTACTAAGTGTGCTAAAGACTTAAAGAGATCACAAACAAGGCCTTTCTAAAGCTACCAGCACAACTATGTTTATTATTCAGCATTGCTAAGATATCAGCCAACCTAGATGCCCCTCAGTAGATGAATGGATCAAGAAAATCATGTGCCTCCATCAGAAAGAATGACACCATCCCATTTGTTAGGGAATGGAAAACTTGGAAGAAAAATGTATTAAGTGAAGTAAGCCAGACCCAAAGAAACCTAAGTCCAATGGTTTTCCTTATTTGCAATAACTAATATAGGTCTACGATAATCTAACCAGACAAGCAGAAAAGGTCAAAGCTATATACATATGACCATATAAAATAATGCTATGTGAAATAAACTCCAAGATATGGATAAAAGAGGTTTTTTTCTTTATTGCTGTTGTTTTAATGTACTGTGTGTGTGGTTTTTTTGTTTCTTTTGTATGTTCTTCCCCCAATGGTATAACCCCTGTTGTCACTGTATTTGATTCTGGTGCCCTGAATCTTGTCTTGTAATTTTGGGAAGGGTAGGGGAATAACAAAATGCTGAAACAAGGATACAGATTGGCCCATTGTAACAATGAGATGTACAAGACACTATGTTGAAAACGAACTTCAGGGGAGGGGGAGGGAGGAGTTGGGGAGGTGTAGTGGGAAGGGACAGTAGTGGAAAAAACAAAGGAGTGACTAACAATGCTCGATAGGAAGTATACTCATTGCCTTACTCATGTAACTGTAACCCCGCTTTACAATATCTTTACAATAAAAAAAATTTAAAGAATATTTGGCTCTATTGTAAGTCAAAAAGAGGCATGGCCCTTGTTTTTATAATCATATGTAGGCAACACTTATTTAATTATTTCTATTATATTTTTAAGTGTTACATTTGTGCACCTAAAGAATTTATAATAATATGACCTACATAATTTCAATATATTTCTAAAAGCTTGATCAGCTTTCCAGACACATTGACTCAACTCTAGCTACTTGAAAGGCAGAAAGATAAGGGATCACAGTGGAGGCCAGTACAGGAATAAGTTCATAGGACTATCTTAACAAACAGTTAAGTAGTCTGTAACTGTTATCTTGGCAACAGGACGAAGTACAGGTTAGGAGGATCACAGCCCAGGGTAGCTTAAGCAATAACTCAAGACCTCCACCTCAAAAACCAAAAGCTAGAAGTGTGGTTCAAGTGTTAGAGCAACTGCCTAGTAAGCATAAGACTCTGAGTTCAATCCTTATTATCACCATTTTAAAAGTTTAAAAAGCTGGTCATGTTATGCAGTCTAACTGCAAAGAAGTCTATTGAAGTTTTCCATAAATATTTATTTGGAAAGGCCTCAAAAGGAAATTGGGCAGTGTAGACAATTTGTCAGATTTCCTATTTATTTATTTACTTACCTGTATTATATTTTATTTTATTGTAAAGATGCTGTATAGAGGGGTCGCAGTTACAGGAGTAAGGCAATGAATACATTTCTTGTAGATCATTGTTAAACTCTTCCCTTGTTGTTGTCCCACTATCCCTTCCCTCTCCCACTTCCCACACTCCTCCCCATCCCCTCCAACTCCCCCCCCCACCTGATGTTGTAAAGTGTGTTTCCAATATACTGTCCTGCGGGTATCATTGTTGCAATGGTCATCCTGTGTCCTGTTCCACCATTTTGTTATTCCCCATCCCCTCCCCATATTAGACAAATGTATATACAAGATGTAGCTACCAAAATCAAGTACAGTGACAACAGCGGATACACCATAGCAAGAACATAGAAAAGAAACAAATATCTTGGATCCATATCTTTGGATTCATTTCATTTAGCAACATCTTATATGATCTTATGTACATAGTGTTTGAGCTTTTCAGCTCATCTGATAAGATTTTCCTATACGTTACTTACATTTTTTTACCTTTTGCCAGTGCTGGGGCTTTTGAACTCAGGACTGGGCACTATCCCTGAGCTTCTTTTGCTCAAGGCTAGTACTCTACCACTTGTGCCACAGTGCCTCTTCCAGATTTTTCTGTTTATGTAGTGCTGAGGATCAAACCCAGGGCTTCATGCATACTAGGTAAGCACTCTACCACTAAGCCACATTGCCAGCCCTCCTACTTTCTTTCTTATTTACTTACTTATCAGGCACTCTCCCTGAGCTTCTTTGCTCAAGACTCTAGCAGTTTAGCCACAGCTTCATGGTGCTTAATTGGAGTCTCAAGGGTTTTCCTACCCTGGTTAGCTTCAAACTGCAATCCTCCGATCTCAGCCTCCTGAGTAGCTAGGATTTCAGCTGTGAGCACACTATTCCTTCCTAGCTATTTTGAGTAGACTCAACACCTTAAAGAACCAGGGGATGTCCTCTAGTTATTCCATTACATTCATATCTGTTTAATTTAAAGAAACTACTCAGAGTAGCCAAGGTAGGATGCAAAATGGAAAATTTCAAAGATAACCTAATAGCTCCAAAACAACCATGAAGTCTGGAAGATTTCAAGGCCATCAATATAATGAATAGTGATGCTATTTTGCACTAGGAATATTTGAGACAATTCCAAGTAATACTCAAATTATATATAATGAGATTCCTACTTTTAAAATTGCCTGATACTGGATATACTTTTTCTTTGACAATACAAACCTATGTGGTCAGGTGTGTCATTTTTAACCTCACAAATAAAATAACAGTTTTGTTGGCAGAGTCGTTTTCAATCTAGTCTCAAACCTACAATTCCTTTTCTTGCATGTCATATTTAATCAATGCCATTGTAAGGTCACTAACCTATTTTAGTTGTGATTTTGTGACCATCATCAATACTTCCAAACCCTCCTCTCATTGGCTTGCATTCTGGAGGGGTATATCCTTCAGAACAGTGGCAGTGGTCAAAGTTGTTGCACAGCTGGAATAAAAAAAAGTAGAAGAGTCTTTGTAGAGAGAGAGCTTCTTATCGGTCCTTGGAGTCTATACTTTTCCCACAAAGCATCTCATTTTAGAGATTGTTAGACAAACTCACTCAATTTCTACTTGAAATTTCCATACAAAGTATGGAAACTTCCTAAAGAAAGTTTCCATTGCCAAATCCACTCTAATCCTTATTATAGCCAGATTCAAATACCTTACAATTTCCAATAATTGGCCACAATTCCTACTCATTTCCCACAACAGTTCAGAGTGTAAATAAACTAGCAAGACTAGCATTCTAATTACTTTTTATAGTGTCTTCTCTGTGTAAAAATAGAAATACTTTCCTTCCATGATAACAACACAAGGCCATCTGTCCTTATAGCACATCCACCCCACATATATAGGAAATTTTATACACATCTATTACACATTATCATTTGAAATGTTTTCCCTTTATATTATAGATTGTTAAAAGATACCACAAAATATAATGGTGACTAAAATGCAAATATTTTTTTAAATCTCCCAATTGCTCATTACAGTGTTAAAAGTATTGTTGAAATGAACACTATTGTGACTTACCCCACGGTCATTGCAATCTCTAGTAACGTTACACTTTTGATAGTTTATAAGATATCGCACTTCTTTACATACCATTTTGTCACAATACTAAGGCAAAGCAAAAAGAAATAAAAACAAAATGGAGTCAGGCAAACAGGTTTATTGCAGAGATAGCATGTAAGGAATTTTAAGAGAAAGAATCTCAGAATTCATATTATCCAGAATTGGCATCAAAATCTATGAGACTCCCCAGAAATAACTAATATATCTTCAGATTGTCATCATTATGTAAGGAGCTGGTAGTTTTATATTCTTAAGTCTAGCATTAGAAACTGTTTTGGAAAGATAAATCGTTGGAGACATCAACTGATGAATCTATGGCCTCACATTAATTATCTGAAGAGCCCTGAAAGAAGTGGTCTCCACCAGAGATCACTGTTATCAACAGCCCAAGGGAGACTGACAACAGTGCCATGCACAGCAAGGTGGAGAACTGAAAGGTAAGAGGGGGAAGTCTTAATACCAAAAGACAAGAGGATGGCTATTTCATATGAAAAAAAAAGAGAAAGAAGGCTATCAGACAATTATAGGAGGTGACAGGACAAGGAAAAATTCCAATGGTAAGATATATAAAAATATGATTGTCAAAACAAATAAAAGTGCTTGACCACAAATCTTATTCAGAACTATTATTCATAAGAGATCTTCAGATCTTTTCTGAAAATTTATTCATTCATACAGGGAAAACACTTACTACATATTTCAGAACATCAAATAATCTGCATAAATTATTGAAAGATAATATTACTGTTTAAAAAAGTTGGCATGGACACAAATGTGGACTTATTTAGTTCCTTTCCCAATAGTTCTATGAATGTGGAGAAAGTGAGAAAAATAGAAAAGCAGCACAACAAGCAGATAATTACTATTAACATTTTGGAATTCATGCTAGCCTATTTCTATTTTATATGGAAATTTGAGATCATACTGGACATAATTGTTTTCACTTAAAATATTTCCTCAGTATAGTTATGCATCATTAAATATGTTGAGCTGTGTATTGGTGGCTCATGCCTATAATCCTAGCTACTCAAGAGGTTAAGATCTGAGGATCATGGTTCGGAGCAAGTCCAGGCAGTACCAAAACTCCATGAAGCTGTGGCTCTGGTAATAGAGTACTAGCCTTGAAGGAAAAAAAAAAAGCTAAAGCTCAGGGGCAATGAACAGGCCCTGAGTTCAAACCCTACAAAGGCACAAAAATAAGTAAATAAATGTTGAACATCTCTACAACTCAAATATATGAAGTTTTTCACAACCTGAGTTTTAATGACTAGCAGCTAACATGAGAAATCATATTTAAAAACTTGTCTTAACCATGTAATTATAGCATGTTAGCTTTCTGTATCTGGAATAAATACTTGAGATAATTTTTAAAAGGTGTTGAAAGCACTAATAACATATTAATGGAATGCTGTATGACTTGTAAATACAAAAATTGAATGTGCTTCTTCAATGTGCTTCTTCAATGTCAAATTTAAAGATTCTTTAGACTCACTAAATATTTCATAATCCTATGGAACATGATTTCGTTTTACTTGCTAGTTACCACTGAGAAGACTCTACTTGCTGTGAAATGTTGAAATGCAGTTTGCCTGGCAGATACAGAAATGATTTTGATCCTAATGAAAAGATAACCCTGAATTATAAGACAGGACAGACATTAACAGTTTTTTCACTGACCCCAGCAATTGTAACCCAATATTCTTTTTCCAAATGCCTCTAAATACCAAAGTATTTTTAATCAGCTTTAACAACCTACTGCCCAATAACAGGCTAAATGAGTAACAGCATGTGTGTGTGTGTGTGTGTGTGTGTGTGTGTGTGTGTGTGTCTTGATGTTAATAGTTTTAACTGAAATACCTAAGAAGATTCAACTTCCAAAGTCAAATTTGTGCTAAGTATGGTAGTTCATGCTTATAATACCAGTACATGGGAGACACAACTCCAGAGGGATGTGGTTCAAAACTAGCCCAAACAAAAGTTAGTGATATCCCATCTTCACACACAAGGCAGGCGTGGTGGTTTTCTCTCAGTATGTAACCCCAGAATAGGAGAAAGTCTTTACCAACTATTCAATGGGAAAAGTGATTAACATCCAGAATATACATATAGCTCAAAAATAAACAATAAAAGAACAAACAATTTAATTAATAAGTGGGCAAATGAACTGGACAGTTCTCAGTAAAAGGAATACAACTGGCTTGTAAGTAAACAAAGAAAGGTTAAATATGCCTATCCATAAAAGAAATTGCAAGTTAAAACCATACTAGGACTCCACCTCATTCCAGTCAGAATGGCAGCCATTAAGAAAACAAATGTGTATATGCCACTGGTTTACACCTGTGAGCTAGCTACTAAGGAGGCTGAGATCTGAAGATCATGTTTGAAACCAGTTTAGGCAAGAAAGTCAATGAGATTCTTTTTTCCAATTAGTCAGAAAAAAAAAAGCTATAAATGGAGCTATGGCTCAAGTTGTAGAGTACCAGCCTTCAGCAAAAAGGCTCAGGCCGTGAATTCAAGCCCCGGATTGGCACAGAGAAAGAGAGGGTGGGGGAGAAAAACAGCAACAAAGAGGGGGGGCCACCGGGAGGAGGAGGAAGGGGGAGGGGGGAAGAAGGGGAGGGGGGGGGGGGGAGGAGGAGGAGGGGGGAGCAGGAGCAGGAGAGGGGGAAGGGGAGAAGGGGGAGAAGGAAGAGGAGGAAGAAGAGGAGAGGGAGGAAGAAGAGGGGGAGGAGGAGGAGGAGAGAAAGAGGAGGAGGGGGAGGGGAGAAGGAGGAGGAAGAAGAAGAAGAAGAAGAGGAGGAGGAGGAGGAAGAAGAAGAAGAAAAATAATAATGGTGAAGATGTGGGAGGAAAGGAACCCTTATATACTACTGATTGCTATGGGAATCAGTGTGGAGTTTCACCAAAAAAAACTAAAAATGGGTCTATCTTATGACCCATTAAAAAGGAGATAGGAGAGGGAAGATGATTAAGAAAAAATAATATATATGTATATATAGGGGTAACTTGCTCAAAGTTTATTATATACATGCTGTAAATACCACAGTGAAACCTCTTTGTACAGTTCATGCTAAGCCAATAATAAAAACTTAAAATGGAGACTATAAATGGACTTAAAATGGAGAGTACAAGTTTATTTAAAATGTAAAAAAGGTGAAAGAAACTAAAAGTGCCTTTGAGAACCCTCTTGCATAACTAATATAGCCTAGTTTTACAAACTAAGGAAAAAAACCTTAAAATTAAAATTTAAATACCCATTTCTATTCATTACATTCAATTTAAAATTTTACTCTGATTTTTTCCTACATATATTTTAGTCTTTCATTTGAATGTATACTAACTTTTGCTGGAAAGAAGTGAAAAAGTCACCAATTACATTTTTATAGGAATAGAACAAGCAATCCTAAAATTCTTCTGGAGGCACAAGAAATCCCAAATATCCAAAGCTATCCGAACATAAAGAGCAGTGATGGAGGTATCATAATACCAGACTGCAAATGATGATACTGCAGAGCCATTGTAACAAAAACAGCAGGGTATGGCACAAAAACAGACACAAAGACCAATGGAAGAACTAGAAATGAACCTAATCAAACCCCATCATCTACTATTGACAAAGGTAACAAAACCATACATTTGAAAGAAAAAAAAAAGATAGCCCCTTTAACAAGGGATACCAGAAACCTACATGGAGAAGACTGAAACTAGATTTCTACGTTTCACCCTATATAAAAATCAGCTAAAAATGGACCAAAGAGTGGAACTTTTAAACTATGAGAGGAAAACACTTTAAGATATATCTGTAAGACTCTACTAGCTCTGTAAATAATAGCAAGAACTGGAAAATGGAATTGCCTAGAATTTAAAAGTTCTGCACAGAAAAAGAAATGAACAGAGTGAAAAAACAGCATGCAGAATGGGAAAAAAGAGGATCTCCCAGGTATTTATGCAACAGGGGATTTATAGCCAGAATACATGAAAGAATTCAAAAATATTGAATAATGAAAGGGAAAAGAATCCAGTCACTAAAAGGGCAATGGGACTGAAGACACTTTTCAAATTTAAAAGGGCAAATGGCCAATAATAACTACATGAGGAAATGTTCAACATCCTTAGCCATCAAGGAAATGCAAATGAAAACAACATTAAGGCTGATGTAGTATACACATGTATAATACCAGCTGTTTATGAGGTGAATATAGGAGGGTCATGGTTTGAGAATCCCTGAACAAAAAAGCTACTGAAAATAAATTATAAAAGGAAGAGGACTCCAGAGCAAAAGTAATGTATATATAATTAATAGACTTTTGAAAAGGTGATGAGTACACAATGGGTTAAGATTATTCTCTTCAATATATAATATTGGGATATATAGACAGTCACAAGCAAAAGGACAAAATTGGGCCATTATATCATGTGCAAAAATCAATTCACCTCATGTACAAAAGTCAATGAATGACAAACTCAAACAAAAGATGGGAAATTCTTTTTTTCTTTTTTTTTCTTGCCAGTCCTGGGACTTTTGAACCCAGGGCCTGGGCACTGTCCCTGAGCTTCTTTTGCTCAAGGCTAACACTCTACCATTTGAGCCACAGTGCCACTTCTGGCTTTTTCTGTTTATTTGGTATTGGGGAATCGAACCCAGGCAAGGCCCCATGCATGCTAGGCAAGCATTCTACCACTAAGCCACATTCCTAGCTTTAACATTATAGACAATGAATATATTGAAAATAATACTGTGCTGCTCAAATCCTGTAATAAAAGAAAACCTGGGAAAATTCTAAAGCTTCCAGAAGGGTGAAAGTTACATGAGTTGGGCCTTGACAAATGGTTTCTTAGATATGAGCCCAAAAACATGGTCATAAAATCAAAAACAGACAAATTAAGACCACAATGATATATGTGGAGGTACTCTTCAACAAAAACGAGGAGTAAAAGGAACTGTTGCACACTGCTCATGGATGTACAAATTAATACAAGCAATAGAGTATATGGCATAGCTTTTAAAATAAAACTACCATGTGATATAGTAATTCCATTTCAGAGTATAAAGAAATTGCAATCAACATGCTAAAAAAAAAAAAGATCTGCATGCCCTTCATGAATACTGCTGTTTTCTGCACAATAGCCAAGATTTAAAAAAAAAAATCTAAATACCAATCAATGGATGAGTAGAGAAAGAAAATGCAGAATACAAGGAACCATTAGCAGCTTTAAAGAAGAAAATTCTGTCAATTGTGACAACATGAATAAATTTGAAGTACATTATGTTAAATAAAATAAGCCAAGAATTAAAAAGACAAATATATTCTGATTTTTTTTTAATCAGTCCTGGGGCTTGAACTCTGGGCTTGGGCACTGTCCCTCAGCTCTTAAGCTCAAGGCTAGTGCTCTACCATTTGAGTCACAGTGCCACTTCCAGTTTTTCAGTGGTTTATTGGAGATAAGAGTCTCACAGACTTTCCTGTCCCGGCTGGCTTTGAATCGCGATCTTCAGATTTCAGCCTCTTGAGTAACTAAGATTACAGGCATGAGCCACCAGTGCCTGGCCTATATTCTGATCTTGATCGTAAGTGAAATCTAAATAAGCTACAGTCAAAAAAGCAGAGAATACAGTGATGGTTCTACTCAAGAAGTAGTCTAGAGGAGCCCAGGACCAGCACACACAAAAAAGGAAAGTTTAACTTACACTACAATATACATGGTCCTTAAGGGCTCTAGTTAAGTGAACTAAGTCAGAAAGATGAATACTGAATAATTCCACCTATGTGTGGTACCTGGAAACAACGTTTATGGTGGTTGTCAGGGAATTGGGGCACTGTGGTCTCATGGAGAGAGATTCAGTTTTACAAGATGTCAAGAATTAACGAGACTCATGGTGGTGGTGAGCGGGTGGCTGTACATTCTGAATCTGTTTAATACCACTGAATTATATTGTAAGATGATTAAGATGGAGAATTTTTGTTATGTGTATCTTACCACAATAAAAGGTTGGGGGAAAAGCTACTGGTTGATTGATATATTGTAAAATGACTATATTCATAAAAAATAATTTTGAAGCATGAATTTTTGTAATTCTATTTACCATATCAGGTCCACAGATACTGCCATCTTCTACAAATGTATCATCTCTTTGTCCAGGAGAAGAAACTCTCGTGACGGTGCCTGCTTGTTTTGGAGAGGGTTTAAACACAGACACACAGACATCTTCTCGCACATGTGCGTAAACCACTGAGTAATTGACTCGCATTAGTAACCTCTTGTGTGGCCATAAACAAACTAATTTTCCACATAACACATTTCTGCAAGTATAAGGAAAATCGTTGTCTTATCCTTTACTGAAATAACATTACAGCTGATAACTTTGATCTGTATCATTATGACAATTAGCAGTTCTCATTCCTCTACATTGTGTACTTTCTTAGTGCCCCACCTAATGTGTAAATATAGTTCATTCTTGGCTCACATAGTAGACAGTGAGTTCAAAAGAATGTTTCACAAATTTAAATCTACATTTCAGTAGTTTTTCTCTCAATAAAATATTTTTAGCACTTACAATATGACTTTTTGTTGTTGAAGATGATTTAGCAAGTGGGGAATGCATGACTTCTCGGATTTGACATCCCCTTTCTGCCCTGTATGCTAGCTACTGAAATTCGAGCAAATAACCATTAAACTTCAATGAGACAATTCTTACTACAGACACACAATATGTATGCATATATATGTATATGTCAAATGTATGAGGCCTAACAATATGTAGCTCATCACAATCTTGGAGATCTTTTTATGGTCTTTCTTGCTTTAACATTATAAACAATGAACATACTGAAAATAATACTGCTGTGCTCAAATCCTGGAATAAAAGAAAACCTTGGAAAATATGTTACTATTAACAGAATATATTATTCCAGGATTTTAGAAATAAGTAACCCACATTCCAAATAATTACAATTTCTAACTACATACTGAAAGGCACAAAATGAAGAGCCACAGTTTCCAAATCTATCTCCTCTGGAATTCATTTCATCATAACAAGCAAAGGTAGCACCTTTAGCATCTAAAAACAAGGATAACAAAACAATAAATTAAATATACATTGCAGAACTCAAACTATATCACAAAAATTATTGAGCCAGCCTATGAAGAAATAACATGATCTCTATCAAAGTTACAAAGAAGAATTTTCAGAGAGGTCCTCAATCTAAGCCTGGAATGCTTTGTTCTGTATCAAACACAATTAAATAGCAACCGTATTAGGATGTGTTTGTATTTTAAGGAAAACTGGCAGCTGCAGCCCTCTGTTTCTCCTAAATTGTTCCCTCTGTCTTAGTTCCCTATCTAATGTGATAGTCTAGTGTTTTCTTATTGGTAAAGAAATAGTATCTAGAGCACCATGCTTTATTTTATTACTTTTAACCAAATCAAATAACTTTTGATTTAACTCTCTTTGTAACCTTCTATAGTCCATCCCTGTGTTTTCCAGCATCCTAACCATCTCTAAGTAAGGAATGCTGAATTTTCAAATCCATCTGCCACAACTGGATAGCTATGGTTTATGGCTATAATCCTAGCTACTCTGTAGGCTGAGATCTAAGGACTGTGGTTTAAAGTCAGCCCAGGCAAGGAAGTCCATGAGGTTCTTATCTTTAATTAGCCACCAAAAAGCTAAAGCAAGAGCTGTGGCTCAAGTGGTACAACACTAGCCTTGTGCAAAGAAAGCTTATGGACAGTGCCCAGGCCCTGAATTCAAGGCACAAGACAAACACCCGCCCCCCCAAAAAAAGACTAATCAGCTTCAATTCTTGGATATAGTGTATCTAGTTTTAAATCAAGAAAATTTCAAATATAATTACTGCTCCATCATTCCAGCAAGGTTTAAGGATTGTTTTAATGCTCATGTTCATCATTTAGAATAAGAATGAAAATCTTGCCAGGTGCTGGTCGGTCAAACCTGCAGTTCTACCTACTCAGGAGGCTGAGATCTGAAGATCATGGTTTGATGCCAGACCAGGCATGGAAGTCCAATTAACCACCAAAAAGATGGAAGTGGAGCTGTGGTTCAAGTGATAGAGCACCAGCTTTGAGTAAAAAAAGAGCTCAGGGACAGTGCCTAGGCCCTGAGTTCAATCCCTGAGTTAAATCCCCAAGACTAGTATACAACACACATATACACACACACACACACACACACACACACACAAATGAAGATCTTTTTGTTGTTAGCATTGTTAACCAACCAAGGACTCCTCTTCAATGACTTCAAAGATTCTCACAGTTAGAGGGCCTTAGGTATAAATGTTGACCCCAGAAGCTCACTATCTGTACATACACAGGATGCTATAAAAGAGGTCCACGTAGATTTGAATGCAGTCCACCAGCATCAACAACTGTAATTTCTGAAACAATCTACCCTTGATCTCACATGATTTATGATGTATTTCTTTTTGCTTTACTCCTATCAACACATTGTTTTGCATAAATCAAATTTAATTTCTCATTCCCTTTTTCCCAAACTATCATCTAAGTCAGGATCGAGATGGTGACATAATATTTAAGAGAGGAGGAACAATCACTCAATAATTAAAGTAAAAACGTCTTCATGTCATCATGCAAGGGGCATCCATAATGAACAGAATACTACAAGTTTAGAAGATAGCTCATTTGTTTAATACTCCTGATTTTCTACACGACATACACAGGGCCAGCCCTTTTTGATCCAGTTGGTTCCCAGTTAGACTGAATGTATATCATTTCATAGCAGTCCTTGGTCAGAGAGCCCAGAGCAAGCTGCTTGATCAGGAGGATAAATAACCAAATATGGAGTGTCCCACAATTTTCAGCTCAAGCTCTGAGGCTCACAATGGCAGGTTATTGCAGCTTTGTTGCCTTGACCTTCTGTCACTCAATCCTTGCCATCCTGACACACCCTTTCCTGGTGGGGATTTTCTCCCCTGATTCCAGAGGTGGGCTTTGGTTCTGTCTTTAATTTAGAGGCTTTTAGAGAGATGATTATAGGCATGAGCCACAGGCGCCTGGCTTGATATTTTTTTTCATATCATTTGTTAATTTTTTCCTTTGCCTTATTTTCATTGTTGTGTTTATCTTTCTCTTGTCTGTTTAAGATTCCTTGAAATATCTTTTGCAGTACTGGTTTAGTGATTGTAAATTGTTTTCTTTTTAAATTTTTTTTATACTTCCTCAGTTATAACAGATAGCTTTACTGGCTACAGTAACTTAGACTGGCACTTATTTTCTTTCAGGCCTTGAAAAACCACATTTTATACCCTTCTTCTATTAAGTCTCAAGAGATCTGCTGTTATCCTTTGTAAATGACAAGGTACTTTTCCCATGTAGAATTCAACATTCTTTAATTGTCTTGCATATTAAATGCTTTTTCTATATGACATGTGGAAGTTATTAAATACTTTTTTGCCAGTTTTGGAGCTTGAACTCAGGACCTGGGCACTGTCCCTGAGCCTCTCTTTGCTCAATGCTAGCACTCTACCACTTGAGCACCATTTGTGGCTTTTTCTGTTTATGTGGTGCTGAGGAATCAAACCCAGGGCTTCATGCATGCTAGGCAAGCACTCTACCACAAAGCCACATTCCAAGCCTTTATTAAATATTTTTTAAATAATTGTTTTCTTTCTTTGGCATGACTGACTGCTATTCTGTCCACTCAAACTGATGTGATGACTTTTCATTTGTTTACATACATTGCTTCAGTCTTCTCAGATTAAAGTAATGAGGTAATTGAACAGGGGAAGAAGCATTTGTCTGTTTCAGTACAAGTATTAGTGGCTGTCCATAAAAGCAACTTACTCATAAATGTCTCAACCCACTCCATCTCAGAGGAGCATGGAATTCAGCCACTGAGTCTCATTTCAACATGCTTTTGAATGAAGCATGTCACTAGACCTAACACACCTTTTAAAGCCCTGACATAAAATAATAGTATATAAGCCATTTCTTCTTTGTCTTATTGAGCTTAAACTACAGCTGAAAGTAAGCTTACTAGGACAAAATTTAGCTTGAGAAACTTCAACTATTTGAATACACAGAATTGATCTACTTTGAGAGGAACATCTATGGAAAGTGAAATTAGTACTTAATCTGAGGTTACTTACTAGTTTTAGCTCAATGTAGACACTAATTATAGGTTCGTGGATCTCATGCAATACAAAATAAATTGCAGTGGCTTTGTTTTTTAAGAAAGAGGTGAACATGACAACTTACAAAAAGCAATAGCCTTATAAAGCCTAATTCAACTACTTAAGGTGGTCAGATGTAGTAAACATTTATTTCCTCAAAATGGTGTTTACACCACCAGGGTTGCATATTTTCTTCTTTACAGACAGGAACTCCTTTACCATCTAACTGTAATTCCATCTGTCCTAAAGTAGGTACAAAACTCAGTTCACTCATTCTATAGTGTTCTTCTGGCCAGTTCCTGCATTTTCATTTCGTGATGACCTTTAGATTTGTTGACAGTTCTATATATTCACCAGTGATGTTACCATGAAATATTTAGAATTTCCCTCCCTTTTCAGCTGCCAACACAGCAGGAAATTTGAGAGATTTTTGCACCAACTCTTTCACAATGAAATCTACTGCTGTGTCAGTTTCATCTTGTGTATAGCCACAGTAGGAACCATCACACTGAAAGCCACCGGATATGAGGCCTGAATCTGCAAGGTACTCTCACTGTTTCCTTTTAACTGTCATCTTGAGTTGTCACAGCTTTCATTGATAAAAATCATTCCTGTTGTATTGCAAGCACTCCCTCAGTGCTTTACATAGATACAGTAGTTGTACCTTTTCAGCCCAGCTGAATGTTCCACTAAGAGAAGAAAACAGCTTTCCTTTGCAGCTGCTACAAGAAGTCTCACCCTCCACCTCCATCAGCTCGACAATCTCACATCTACCAGCCTTGTTCTCCACCACCATGCCCACCAGGAGCTCAGAGCTTCCCCTTGGACCAGCTGGTGGCATCCACTCTGTCCAGTGTGGGTTGTACACATTGGTCCCAACCTCCTGATTCTCCAGGATCCATAGCAGTGCCCCTGGCGCCACTTTGGTCACAGTTGCACGGGCAGAGCAGCCTCAGGGCAGAACAAGGACCAGCAGTGACACAAATATTATTATAAGTCATTGCCTTTTATCTAGCCTTGAACAGAAATGTGTAAGGCAGTCCTTTGTACTGTTATTCAGAAACCTTAAGGAAGAGATTCTTTGGCTTGTTTTATTGTATTTTTGTCTGTTTGCTTTAAATCATCGGCACTTTAACATAGAGAGCCTTCCTATCACATCTCCATAGTCTAAGACTGTTTCTGGAATGGCAATTTTTTTGGTGTTGAGGAAAATAATCAATATACAGGTGCTCTTTCACAAATCTCACAGACTCTATAATGACATTTTATGTTCATATTGATCTACAGCCCAAACCTAATAGAATTTTTGCTATAGCCTTTTATGTTCAGCCTAATTTTTAGCTTACCTAGTTGATGAGGGCAAGTTCACCACTGCCATAATAGGGAACTTTTGGCCTGCCAAAATAGTTATTGGATCTAAAAAAGTATTTAAGAACCCAGGGGAGGAAAACTAGCAAACATTCAAGATCCAGTTGTGAACATTGTTATCCTGTCTTCAGAACCTCCCAACACCATCACATTCCTCAAAGCTTTTCTAACAAAATGTGAAAAGAAACCTCTAGGAAACTTACCTACTTGTGCTACCAACCTTCCTCATCATGCTTCCATTCTGTCATCTATTGTGCTATTTCCTTTCCTCTCTTTCTCAAATTCTTATGCATATTACAGTTTTCTCCAGATCTCCCAAGGAAACTACCGGTTAAATGCTTTAATAATTATCTGATATTTTAGCATAGATGGTGACCAGTGGAAATTTAAGTGATAGCCTAAAACGTACCTAAGACCCCATAAAGAATATTCCAAAGAGACATTAAAAAAGTTTGCTCTGAAATTCTGAATTTCATCATTATTTTGGTAACAACCTACCATTCAGGGCCGTGGACCTATGTGGCAATTCATCCATTTATTTCTTAATTTAGAAATCTAAACTAGTTCTCTTCTTAATTTTTGTGTGAAAATCTCAAATAGGAGATATTGCAACAAAGAATAAACAAAGGCAAGAATCTGAAAATCTCAACGTTGTGCTGAATATTTTCAAAGGGACTAAGAAAACTAGCAAGCTAGAAATAATTTTTGTCCTTTTTAATGACAACTGGATCCTACAATAGAAACCAGATCAAAAAACTCCCAGTATTTAAGAATCAAGAGCATCTTAAGGTTCTATTACTTGTCATTTTTCTATTGTTAACTTTAGATATTAAAACAGAAACATGTTTGAAAAAGCCAATATCCCGTGAGAAGGCTTTCCTTCAGTGGTGTAATTTTAAAAAAATTATATATATAAATATATATATATATATATTCGTATATAAATTTAAGGATTGCTTTGTTGTTGTTATTTTGTTTTAATTTTGGGGTGATTGTGTGTGTGTGCCAGTCCTAGGGCTTGAACTCAGGATCTGGGTGCTGTCCCTAAGTTTTGTTGCCCAAGTCTTAGTACTCTACCACTTGAGCCACAGTTGGTTTCCTTTAACACTAATATACACTAGGCAAGCTGTTAGTCCTTCACATTGAGTTGGTATTTTTACCCTAAAAATTATAGAATGTGGAGTAATTAGAAGAAAATTATGTTTATTACCTTCTCCAAGTAATCTTTTACACTGTTCATCAAAATTTCGACAAGCTCCATTAAAGCATAAGGCTTCATTGTTACCACAGTAGTGTCCATTGCGTACAAAAGTGTCAGGCATACATTCTGATTGGTTCCCATTACAATATTCATCAAAATCACACTCTAGGTCAACTGCTTTCCGACAAAGGTTATTAATTGGTTTTATCTAACAGGGAAAGAAAATACAATAAAAGATTAATTAATTAATTGTGCTGCATTTTTCCTCCTAAAGGTATAAATTTTCAAATATACCTGTTCTTGTTGCTTAGAATAACACAAAAACAAAATTGTCTCACCTATCAAGTATTACATAGAGATTTGAGTGACTAAATTTCTGGCACATTAAAAAAATTGAGTAATTTTGAGAGAGGCTAAAACTCAAAAGATAAGCATACTACCACAGAAGACAGAAGAGTTAAAGAATTTATATATAGGATAGCAACCTGTCAACCTGCACTAACATCAACTCAAAATGGATTGAAGACCTCAACATTAAACCTGAAACTCTGAAACTACTGCAGGACAGAGTAGGAGAGACACTTGAACTTATAGGCACAGGCAGGAACTTCCTGAACAGAGTTCCAGAGTCACAACAAAATTGGAGATTCAACAAATGGGAAAAATGGGACTCAACAAATGGGATATTTACCAGCAATATATTAAATAAAGGCCTAATATCCATTATATACAGGGAGCTCAAGAAACTAATCCCTCCCAAATCTAACAAACCAATTACTAAATTGGCAAGGGAGCCAATGAGAGACTTCTCAGAAAAGGAGGTAAAAATGGCAGAGAAACACAAGAGGAAATGTTTATCATCCCTAGCCATAAAGGAAATGCAAATAAAAACAACCCTGAGATACCACCTTACCCCAGTCACAATGGCCTATCTCCTAAATTCAAACAACAACAAATGCTGGTGGAGATGCAGAGAAAGAGGAACCCCTATTGCATTGCTGGTGGGAATGTTACACTAATACAACCACTCTGGAAAGCAGTCTGGAGTTTCCTCAGAAAACTAAAAATAGACATACCCTACGATCTAGTCATACCACTCCTAGGCATTTACCCCTGAGCAACAGGACCCAGTATACAACAGACACCTGCACTTCCATGTTCATTGTTGCACTGTTCACAATAGCCAAGATTTGGAAAGGACCCAGATGCCCCATTATAAATGAATAGATCCAAAAACTGTGGTACCTATATACAATGGAATTTTACATAGCCATTAGAAAGGATAAAATAATGGCATTCGCAAGGAAATGGATGGAAGAAGAACAAATCCTGTTGAGCAAGGTAAAGACAAGATCAGAGAGACAAATGGTGCATGTTCTCCCTGATATGTGGATGTTAGATTTAAAGCACAATGAGGTGTGACAAAGTAAACAAGACTCAAGTTATCCACACATAGTGAGACCAAAAGAGAAAAGCACCAAACTGTAATACCCAATCACCTCTTCATTTTTATATAAAATATGCATATTGAAAAGAACCCCAAAGATAAGAAAAGGACCTCTTCTTAATTAATTCTATGATTTTCTGATGATTCTGTATTCTTTACCTAATATATGGTGTATGCACATGCACATCTGAGGGAAGATGGGAGCAGAGCACAGAATCAGTGGAAAGCGGGTGAAAAAATACAGTAGAGGGGCCTATCAGCTGCACTGGACATTGATGAGAGTGAACTAAACATCTCAAGGGCAGAGATGGGAGGGAGGGAACGAGAGCGGAGGCAACAGCTGGCATAAAGCTAAAGGAAAGAAATGTACGTATCACCTGATTTATAAGAAATAGTTTTGGAGTTCCGGGAAGATGGTGGAGGAGAAGCTGGAGGCTAAACAAGCCCTTGCATAGAAAGCAGTTTTAGTGTTCCAGTGAACAGTCCTAAGCCAGAGAATCACACCAAGTGTGCTATCACAGTACAGAGAGTTAGGCCAAAGAGGGAAAATCCAGGCAAGGAGACAGATCTGAGCATTTGCCAGCAGCTTGGCTGCGGTGGCGGTAGCGGTGGTGGCAGCGGTGGCAGCCATAGCCGCCATACTTGCAACACAGAGAGTCCAGGACAAAGGCGCCAGATGCGGCAGGCGAGCAGATTCTACTCAACACCAGCAAGAACTGATAATGAGCAGACATCTTTATCCTGCAGTTTGCAGACCAGAGACAACCCAGGAACCAAGACTCTTTGACAAAGGCCTGGCTGAACAGCTAGCTCCAACTCAGGCCTTGGAAGAAAATAAGAGTCATTTAGCAGGTCACAGGAACCTAATCTGACCTGCCAGGCTCAGCTCTCCCCTAGGGAAAAGTGGGCCAACCCCAGGAGTGGCTTTTTTCACTGGGTAAACAGAGCCAGAGGCTGCCCCTCCCTACAGCAGCCTTCACAATCAATTGAAATTCAGTAAACATAAACCCTGAAAATGGCTCCATGCTGGGCTCTGTGAGTTTCTCAGAAGCTAGCTTCTTGGGGGGGAGGGGGGAAGCTTCTGTTTGCTGAAAGGCCTCAACTCTACCCAGAACCTAGCCTCATCACAGCATCTCCAAACTAGAGGAAACAGCCATCTCCCTCTTCTGTGATACTCAAAGCAGATCTCCCTCCCATTGAACTAGCCTGGGAGAAGGATCACAGAATCCTGGGTAAAGCAGGGCATTTTTCTGCCTGCTCAAATAAACTGACTTAAGAAACCAACCAAGCCACAGGAAAACCAAACACCACAAGCAGACCAGAGACTCCAACAAGAGACTGGTTACAGACAAAAGGGAGATACAAGATCTTCTTATCCCCCCCCCAAAAAAAATCAAAGAACTCTTTTTCTGTACCTTTTATAAATTATTTTTCTAAAACTTTTTTTTAATTTTTAATTTTTAACTTAAATTTTTTTTGTTTTCCATTAACTTTTTTTTTCTTCCTCTTATAATTTTTACTTTAGGGGTATATGTGTGTGTACTTTTGTTTCTTTTTTTCTTTTTAAAAAATTTTATTTTGTTTAGCTCTACTGACAATTTGATCCTTTTTTTTTCTTCTCATTCTTTTCACTTTTTCTTCTCTTTCATTCTTCTCAATACAGTAGATGGAAAGAAATAATTAAAATTAAATCAGAATTAAATGAATTAGAATCCAAAAAAACTATAGAAAGAATCAACAAAACAAAGAGTCGGTTCTTCAAAAAAA